TCTAACTGCCTTATGCTACAAAAACCAAAGGCAAACAGCAAAATATATAGATATTTAGAATTCATTTTATTATGATGATAGAGAGACTAGTAGGCTTCCAAATTGCTTTAACATGGTAGATATATTAATAAAACATTGCTCAACTGATCTCTGTCTCGGTTTCTAGTGGTCTTTTGTTTTAACTGTGGAGGAACAAAGATTTCAGGGTATTTTACAGAGTGACTTTGGGATTTTTTTATCAGGAATTTTTCAGTTTTCAAATAGGGAACACCAGAATTCCTGCTAGGGAGGCAAGTGGCAGGGCCCAGGCAGAGGAGCCTGCTCAGAGCTGGCACCTAGGACCCAACAGGAGGTGGCTGACCTCCTGGCCACTTGGGGTACCAGTTGGCTGTGCCCCAGAAGCTCCTAAGAATGAGTAGCCCTGAGCCACTTGCCAGGGCAGCTTTTTGTACTGAAGGGGCCAGGACAGGGCAGCTTTTTACACTGCTGGAGCCAGCACAGGAGCTGGCCCCAGGCTCTAGCTCCCCCTGGCTGCATATCCAGGAGGAGCCATCAGGGTTATTTTGCCTCAAGTGGTACAACTTGCACCACACCAAAGAACATATCTGGGCACGTGCACTGAGGCATAAAGCCCCAGCTCAAATTTGCACCTTTCTATTTGAGCTGCTGCAAGTGCACGTGCCTGCATGTGTGGATATACCCATGGGGCATGTCCATATGAGTGCACACATGCATCTTGCAGCTTCTCAAACTCCTTTGACATGCTGCAAGAAGCAAGTGCATGAATGAAAAAATGGCAAAATTAGACCCCTGGATATCCAGGGATCAAAAAAAACCTCTCTGCAGAACAGTGGGGCAAGGCACAATCCCAGACCATGCCTGGAGGCAACCTGGGAGTCAGTCCGCCAAGACAGATGCTCTAGTTTCTGGCCAGAGCATCTCTGTGGTACTCTGGCTGCCCCCAGTCCCTAAGTCAGGGACATGGGGTAGGGGGTTTTATGGGCCCCTGTGTGATGCGCCAGGTTCTGCTACCATGGAACCAGCCTGGCCTGGCAGCATGAGTGGCCCCAGTGTCAGCAGGACCTGGCTCAGTGTGACACATGCTCCCTGCAAGTGGCACTGGCCCTCAATGAGTGGCACAGGAAGCACCGGCTCTGAGCTGCTTGGGGCTGCTCTGCACTGCAGGGGAGCTGGCAGCAGCTGGCTCAGAGTGTCCCACTCCCTCTGCTGCTGCAGGGGGTTTCATAGTAGCTAGGATCAGGAGGGACCTGAACAGATCATCTAGCCTGACCCCCTGCTGCAGGCAGGAATGAATGCTGGGTTCACAAGACCCCAGACAGGTGATCATCTAACTTCTTTTTTAATTTACCTAGGGGCGAGGACCACTTCCCTAGGAAGTTGGTTCCAGATTTCGGCCACCCTAACTGTAAAATATTGCTTCCTTATCTCTAACCTAAACCTATTCTCCATCAGCTTATTACCATTGTTCCTCATCACCCCAGGTGGTGCTGGGGAGAAAAGGGCTCTTCCTATTTGCTGATGATCTCCCCTGATGAGTTTGTAGGCAGCCACCAGGTCACCCCTCAGCCTCCTCTTGCTAAGGCTGAAGAGGTTCAGGTCCCTCAGTCTCTCCTCATAGGGCCTGTCCTGCTGCCCTCTCACCAAACGGGTGGCCCTCCTCTGAAGTCTCTCCAGGCTGGCCACATCCTTTTTAAAGTACAGCACCCAGTACTGGGCACAATACTCCAATTGCGACCTGACCAATGTCGCATAGAGGGGGAGTATCACCTCTCTGGACCAGCTTGAGTTGCATCTTTGGAGGCATGACAAGGTATGGCTGTTATGGTAAGTTATGGGCCCTGTGCAGGGGGGGGCTGTGGCCCTGCAGGGTGCCTAGGACCCTGTGCAGGGGAGGGGCTGTGGCCCTGCAGGGTGGCTGGGACCTTGTGAGGGGGGACTGTGGCCCTTCAGGGGGGAGCTGGGTCCCTGCGGGGGCAGAGGGAGCCATCCATGTGCTGTGTGGTGGGACTGCGCTCTGTGGGGGCCAGGGGACGCACCCCTCCTAAGCAGCCACCCCACAAGGTCCCCCCACACCCACAGTTCCGCCACAATTGCCCCACACCTACCCACACACCAACCCACATCCTTCCACACCCACCCAAAACCACCTACCTTCCCCCATACCCCTTCCCACACCCTTCCTGCAAATCCCACATCCTCCATCACACACTCATCATGTGCAAAGAAAACCAAAATCACACATCAACACATATAGGTATTTATGTATATGTGTGTGTGTATATAGAGTGGTTTTTTGTGGAAGAACATAGATTTTGGGGTATTTTAAAAAATGGATTTGGGATGCTGCTGCAGCAGTCCAGCTGGCACAAGTAGTGTCCCCAGATACCAATTGGCCAGGCCCCAGAAGTTCCTGTCTATTTGTGTTACCCAAATGCCATAGGCCCAAGGCCCACCCAACTAAATAGTGGCCCCTACACTGTGGGGCCAATGAATGAATAACACAACTAATTCCTTGGGGCAAATAAAGGGAAAACAGGATAGGAGTGATGTGGGGGTCAAAGGTTCAAAATGTGAAAATAAGTGCTCCAGAGGGGTACACTGAGCAGAGCCCCCCGGGCCA